CCGGGAAATTGCACGGGTATAGTCGTCCCCCCCCGGTAGGGTAGGGGAGGGATGTCCCGTGCAGCCGCCCTTCGACGCCGGCGTCGCCGGGGGAGGGTGCGGGCTGGAAACTATGTCAAGAATGTGCAATTAGTGAGCGAGCGCGGGGGGATGGGGACGGCGGGGACGAGGCGGGGTGCCCGGCCGGCACCACCAGAGTGCGCCGAAGAAAATATAAAGAAGGGAAATAGGTTTTCTGATGATGCCGCCGTCGTCGTTGTCATCGCCGCCACCGGCGCGGCCGCCGCCACGGCAGTTTGGTTTCGCGATGAAGAGCTCTCTCTGCTTTCGTCTCGTTTTAATGCGACGCGCGCGCTACACCAGCAATTTCGTCGCCGCATAATGTCAACCCCAGTGAAGCGGGAACTTGAAATTAACTGTGTATAATTCCATATACACTGTACAGGACGTCCTAAAAGTCATGGATGAAATTCAAACATGGAGGTCGTGGTAGTTTCTAAAATTTTGCGGTTTTTGTCAACTTCTTCTGTTGGATCAAGAACAGCTACAATAATCGTTGAAATATGGGTGTCTATAAAACGATCTGCTAATTTCTAAGTTACATAGAAAAATCAAAAATAACGTTGCGCTGGTTGCGCTAAGGAGGCCCCAAAATTAACAATTTATTGCAGATTTTAAGGGAGGTACATAGCAACTGGCACCGATGCCTTAGCTATCATATACATTAAGATATAATACATATCTAACAATCATCAGATATAAATACAAGTATTCTATTAATTTTTAATTAATTAACATTAATTAAAGCCGAATCTGCGTTACTCAATTGAAAAAAAAGTAACCACACACCACACAGTTATATTTTCTTGCTAAAACTATACCTTCGATTTCAACAATTAAACGCACTATTAAACAGAGTAATAAACAAGATTGCTTTCGAAAAATCGTCGCTGGGCGGTCAAGTTCGTAGAGCGTAGCGCGAAGCAGCTTTTTATTTAAAAAAAAAAAAGCCGCATCGCGGTTTCTTGTCGTAGTGAGATGCATTGCTTTCCTATCGTGATCCTTCGGACCAATATGGAACTTTCGCAAAATCGATGTAATTTTGTTGTGCACGCACCCTGTATAAAGAGTCGTCGAACTTCAAAGTTACGGAAAACTTCGGCAAATACAAAGGTTTGTATAAAAAATAGTGGTTTCTATTGATATTTTTTCAATTATCTCGGGCGCCCTGTATACTAGACGAAGTCTGAAACTCTTTCCATTCTGTTTAAACCAAATTTCACACTTTTGGGCCTGTTTGCTGTTAAAATCCTGCATTGGGATGCAGAATCTTTGGAGTTGATTCCGAACGCAAACGAAGTCACCCTATTTACTTCACTCGAAGTACGTGGGGTAAACAAGCTGAACCCACCTCAAGTAAAAATATTGTGAATTACTTTGAACCAAAATTTTCTCGGCTTTTTTAAAACTTATCTCAAAGGTATTTCAAAAATACTAAAGAAAAAATAATTTTTTGGCGTCCCTTCTGTGGAAACGTACCTGAATTAGGTACTTTCGGGCATTTTTTTAATACCTAAATTAAACTTACAGAGTAATGAAAAGAGATATAGGGTTATGATTATGGAAGTTATGCAAGACAGATTTATCACCAGCGGATATAGTACAAAAACTGCGTGTGTTTTCATCTCATCAAGTGGAACTGGACAAGAGATAATAAAAAATCATAAATTTTGCAGAGAGACTTGTAAAGAAAAAGGTAGTCCTGGACCGTGACATCGTCCTGAGAGATAGATAGATTACGGTGACATCCATGTATAGCTGGTCAATAGATAAAATCGAAATAATTCTACAACATTGAGCGAGATCCTCAAAATTGTTTGGCTGCGTCACTGGGCCACTGGCATCCTGAGTCAAAAATGCAGACCGTTTATTGGATGTATAAGGATTCACCACCCCGACAAATGTTTCGAAGAGGTCTTTTATACATTATTTTACGATGTTGCATAACACAACGTTCAAAGAACCTTATTCTTCGTGTTTCTATTGGGAGTGCGCAATTCGTATTCTTAAATGTTATTCTGTTAAAAACCAGTAGAATTTTATTCTCTCAATATTTTCTTAAGTTATTTTGGATAATTAATCAATTACCTAACGTCAACAAAAATGTTGTTGTCCAAAGTGATCCCTTTTTATTCTCAATTCAAAATTTTGTGAAGCTTCTTTGTTTACCAACAGCTTATCAATGTTGTTAAACCTTAAAAAAAATCAGCTCCAAAAGTTGAATTAAAGAATTCTTTGGTTTAGCCTTTTCCTTTTTATTCAAGACTACGGTCTTCGATTGCAATGATTTTGTTCTATCGCCATCAAGAATAATGGCTCTGTAAACAAAATGTCCGTATCGACGAGAGTTTCAAATTCTTGAACAACCGGGTTATTTTTCAGAACTGACATCTAAAGACTCCCACGTATTCGTGAATCTAAAACACCTTCGCAGAAGATGAGACGCTGGTATTAGATATGAAGATTTGCAGCACATAGTATAGGCCACTACTTTTTTAAGATTTTCTATCCAATAGTTGAGACAACGCCTTAGCGAAACCTATTCGGAATAAAATTTAAGTTCGGACATTTATAGGTCGTAAATAGAAGTCGAGACGGAAGTGAGAATGTCTCGACGCAAATTTCGACGGATGAGTCGGAACGGGACAGATAGGTTTTGTCCGGCGGACGGACGACGGACGGTCAATATCTTCGCGACGCTGCGCCGATGTCCGCGCCGATTCTCCGTTTGCTTTCAAATTTCCGGCAGCGTGCGAGTCTGGTCATCCCTTAAGCTATTTGTAATTTTTAAATTTGTCCCCATCCGTTTATTGCCATTCCCGGGAAACGCCGGTGCATTCCGGCGCGTCCGCTCCGCTGCGGTCAATTTTGGTCGTGTCCGGGGGACGCTCGTGAGGTCTTTATTTGCGGACGATGTCCGGTTTTTACGAACGTTAATAAGTTACGGACTTTCGGGTATTCGGTGCGTGCGTGAAAATGCCGGCAGCGTGATGGAAAACTTTTTTCATATTTGGTTTAATGGAGAGAAAGTTTTGATCATATTTAAAATTTCATGTCCGTGAAAAAATTAATAAAATATTATTACAGAGTAGTGACAGATAATATTAATAATAATAATAATAATAATAATAATAATAATTATTATTATTATTATTAATATTATTATTAGGGCTTTTTATGTTTTCTGTATTTATTTATTTGGTTTAATTTTTCCAAAGCTTGGATTTCACGTACTCCATTTTTTAAATATTTTAAAATTATGTGTTTTAATTATTATTAAGCCTTTAATTTAAATTCATTCCATTTCAATTTAAAGAAGTTGAAATGAAACAAAAAATAGGGGAAATGATTAAATAAGTTAAGCCTTTACAGCTTATTCAATTTGTTAATAGTTTTATACTTATACTTTATACTTATCTATACTTATACTTATCTAGTTGTAATCAAATTAAAGTATCTTCAGTCATCTTCAAATGAAAACGTGATACACTCAACTCCTTTTCATAAAAGAAAGCAAAGGAACCTCAAACATATCCACAAAATCATCAATTCCCCAACTGGCTACCTGACGTCTAAAATACCTTTCTCTACTCCCTTCTGTACCTAATTATACACCGATCTAGCGGCCGGAAAGTGTCGTTTTAATACCTGAGTTTCATTTCCCACGGATCCGAGTCACTTCGGACATTTCCGGGATATTACAGCACGGATTTGGGGGCAATCGGATCTTTTCGGAGATTTGAGTGAATGTATTCGTGTTGTTTTGGAAAAATATACTCAAAAACTAACGGTCGTAGAACAATTGTAATATGCAACACGTTTGGTAAACTTTTTAAGTAATTTACTATTAAGTACTGAAGTACTTAACAGTACTGAAGTTTTTGAGCTCTGTGAACTATTTGCGAGAATTTTGGCTGGTCCCCTCTTTTAACTATTGCAGTTTTTTGACTTAGGTTGAAGTGATAATTTTTTATTCCTTAGAGTTATGGATTTTGTATGTTTTCTTCCTCATATTGTTCCTTGTTGTTTTTCTTGATTGTTCTATTGTAATTGCTAAATGGGATTGACCCACTAATAAATAAATTTCGAATATACTTAAGACCACATCTGTGCATTTCATTGTCATCCATTTTAGTTTGTTTTAATGAAATTACAGTTTTACCACAGTTGCTTTCTGGTTACAAATTTAAAGAGCCTAGCTTTTTTCTTCTGAGATGTTTTGAGTGCGCGGCCCGATTATAAATATAGTTAAATTGTTATAATTGTTATTTCTAGGTCGTGTTTAGGGCTCAGAAAACCGAATTTAGATTATTTGCAGCTGGGGGTAACCTCTTATGTAAGCTCACATCCTTAGCCTTAACATCGCCCTTTCTATTTTTTTACAATAAAATTTTATATTATTATTATTATTATTATTATTACATATCATATTTTATGTGGTCAAATCTCAGCGACATGTAATAAAAAAAAGAAAAACAAAATTTTTCACGGTCATTTTCAACACATTTCGGGAATTTATTCTTAAATATTGTAAATTAATTTTTCAGGTTCCCGTCGACCAGTTCAGGTATTCCAATTTTATATTTTTCAAATCACTGACATTTCCGAGCAGTTCGTACAGATCTCGGGCATTAAAATAGCGATTTTAAAAAACGTCAATCTTAAGTGCAAAAGTGTAAAAGTAACACAGACGCAATGGGAATAAGGTAGGGTAATAGGTAAAATAGGCGAAAATGTTTGGCACTATTGCAAAAATACTAAAATAAATTTCTGGACACAAAAATTGTGAACCGTTCACATTTGAAAAACCAAAAAAATGATATATGAGAAGGGTACTTTTGTACATGAAAACTCATTTCATCCGCCACCGCTGCTTTTTTGTAGAGGTAACATGGACAGTGCAAATTTTTGAAAATTTTTTCAGAGGATCTTTTACTTACCGTACATTTTGCCTTCGTCTGATAATATAATTTTTCGGCGCCCGCAGGGCGGGTAAATGGCTAACGCCTCTTGAAAACTCTGTTCAATGTCCGGACTCCAAACCCCTTCGGCGTCGGCCGCCGCCATATCCTTTTCGTCCTAAAAAACAAAAATTGGTATAGACAACCGATCGTAGTCATGCACCGGCGCTCTATTACGCTCAGATAAAAGCAACGACCTTTTTTAGAAAAAAGTAAAAAAAGAAATATAGTTTTAAATAAATAGACATACATAGCTAAAAAGATGTAGTACAGCACGGAAAAAAGAAGTAAACTTGCATCTCCATTTAATAGTCAATAAACAAACTAAAAAAAATAAATAATTTATTTAGAAAAAGTTTTGTATATCCGGTTCCGTTCCCTTACTGGGCACGGTCCCTGCCTGAATATCGATAGAATGAATTGGTTTAGAGCTTTAAGAAGAAAAAGTGGTGGTTTAAGTTATTGGATTGGTCTTTTGTAAAACGGTGAAAAGTGTAAAATTTCTGGGATGCACCAATTAACTTACATCGCTGATGTCTCCGACGTCCAAATTCTTCGTATCCGGACCCGCCCCATTGGAATCGGTCGGCGGGCCGGTTACCGGCGTCCACGGTGAGGAAATGGTGCCTGGGGTGACAACGCTGCCTGAAAGAACAATATATATTAGTTACCAAAACCAATTCATTTTATTTCCTCATAATATTCCAAATATAAATAGGTATGCTTTATATAAATTCCCTTTTCATTTTTTCATTACTAAAGCGACCACATGGTTGTTGGGAAAATTGAACCAGAACGAGGTCCTTTCAGTATAGGCGAGGGATGATTAGCGAAACCAGACCACTAAAGGTATGACTTCCAGACATATCCAAGATGTTTAAAATAGTGTGTTGAAAGCAAGCCCAAAATTGTGGTTTTTCTAGGCACGTAACTGGCCGATTAGGACTAGCGAACAGATGTTCCATATAATCACGCCTTACTGGGGACGAGAAGCCTTAAAAGTATACGTCTAATGGTACGCACTAGCCGAGGGGCATCCGCGTACACGCATGAAATATTGTCAGTCCGTTCGTTGACAGCTTAACTAATCAAAAGCCTCTTTGTAGCGTTCGATGCGGTTACGAGGGAAAGTCCTTAACTTAAAAATATTATCGTATTCCAACGAAAGCTACAGTTTAACAAAATCAAGAAGATTATCATTCACAGAATCAAATGTTCCGTTTTTACAAATAAAAAAAAAGTGGATACGCCTGTCATATAACCCATCCACAACTAAAAATCTTCTTTTAAATTTCGTCTTCTTTCTTTCGCATAGAGCTATAGCACATTGCACCCATAACGATAGATCGTTTAAAACAAAACACATTTCTTTAGTTCTCCCAATGAAGAATGAATCTCATTAAAGGCCGTTTTACATTTTCTATTTTATTCGATTGGACGTTATTTTCTTTTTTGATGTCGTCGGCAGTTTAATCAACTGCCCGTCCTTTTTAAAGTTAATAATCGGCGATTACTTCAATTGTGTCATTTATAGTTCAATGCTTGTTTTTATTTTCTTTCAACTATTTTTTTTTCAATTCTTCTTCTTCAACTAATGAATGTTTAAGACAACAATTTGTTCTTCTCTATTCCTTGCGGTGTGTATTAATGCCTGTACATCGTGTCTGTCCACTGTCAGATATATCGCAGGCAAGACATTTTTTCCTTCCGATCCCTCTACGGCCATCGATCTTGCCTTCGATCAGCAGATGCAAGAATTGGTATTTCGTGTTTCGTTGTGCCATTTTACTCTTCTTAATCGATTCAAAGAGTTCACGTTGTTTGTTGGTAGGTCTCGTCTTTTGTTAGCTTAGCTGTCCAAGATATTTTCAGGGTCCTGCGGTGCAGCTACATCTCCAATTTATTGATTGTGTTCGCCTTATCCAACCTTCTAAATCATAAAAAAGCACCGACCAAACGTAGCATTCAACGAATCTGAGTTTTAGGTTAAGGTCAAAATAGGAACATGTAAATACCTTTTGAAAGCTCCAGAATGTCTGTCGAGCATGTTCAGTGCGACCTTTTATTTCTTTGTCTGGTGTCCATTCTTCGCGAAGTCAGATCCCAGGTACTTAAACTTAAACTATTTCTATGGGCTTTGCGTTAAATGTTATGGTGGAGTTTTCAAACATATTTTGTTTCTTTGGTGTTGATATGCAGGGCAAATTGATTTGCTCTGTTTTCCTATGTTGTTAACTAGTTGTGTATGTTATCAGCAATTTAGACCGTGTCGTCAGCATAGCGGATATTGTTGATCCACACTCCATTCATTTTGACTCCCATCTCCCCCCCGTCTTCCAAAGCCTGCTAAAAACTCGCCTCCGAATACAAGTCGAACAGGAGCGGAGACAGCACACAACCCTGCTGCACTCCCCTTCTAATCTGTATGGTGTTGCCTAGTTTGATTTTCTCAATTTAGTTTCAATATAGGTTTTCAATGCATCTGTTGTCTTTCTGGTCTGAGCAGCTGTATTAATTTGTGGTTGTATGCGATCAAATGCCTCCTTCTCGTAATCTATGAAACATGGACACACATCCTTACTCTGATCATAGCAGCTTTTGGTGAAGTACTTGTGTTACGACTATGGCTTCTCGTTTCCTCTTTTCCAATTAAATAACCAAAAACAATCGAAGTTATAACCTATATCAATAATATTTGCAACACAGTTGGTAATTTTGGATTTGAAACGAGTTTATAAATAATAATGTAATATAAATAATAATAATAATAATAAAATTACAAGGAAAGGAAAAATTGGAGAGCCTAGAGGGGCGTTGTTTTCTGATTTTTACAGTTATCCTTACAAATAAAAAAAGATGTATCACACCATGGTTTCAATTCAGATTTATATTTTTGTATATACCCCTCTGTAAGCAAAACTATAAGCTAAGTGTGCAAGTACAGGAAATTTTTAATGGATTCTAGCAGTGGTTGGCTGCCTACGTTCATGGTTTTTCGGTATTTTTTCTTCAATTTTTTCTCTGTTTTATTTTATCGTTTTCTCCTATACATTATTGATGTACCAGGGCTGTTAATTTGCTTGGAACAAAATTGAATGCAGCAGGTCGTTATATAGTTTATGGCGGTCGTAATTGAAGGATCTTTCAAATATAATAATGAATGAAATAATGATCCATGAGTGTCGATACAAATGTATACTTCGGCAGTGTCCCCCGTAGCACGCGACATTAGTTATCCCGTCGGGAGGGCCGCGCCGGGTATTACAACATGGCGTCGACCGTCTTAATTAATTTGTCTCACGTTCGAAACGTCGGCGACTGTCCGATGAACTTGGCGACTAAAAATACCAAAACGGCCCGCCGCCGCCGCCAAGCCACTTTCTTTTTTCTTTCCACTCAGCTTTTTAACGGACGTAATAATTAATCCCGCCGATTCCGCGAATCAAATCGGAATCAAACAAGTCGAATAAAAATAACGCGAGATTGATGATGGCGGACGCACGTGTGGACGTAGACGCATTCGAAACTTCAAGTGAGAACTTAATTTTCATTTTGGAGTAAACAAAAATGCTGATTTAATGCTTTTCTGAAATTGGCGCTCTCATATTAAAGGTCGCCTTGTGTCAAACCCCGAATCAGTATACGTTACAACAGTAACCCCCTTTTGAAGCCATAAACAGTTTTTACAGTTTATTTTTAAGTCTTTTATGTATTTTTTTCTATTTTCCTTATGTAAAATACCTAATTCTTACCCCATGAATCAGAGTCACTTCGGACATTTCCGGGATAATATGGCCTGGGTTTACGAACAATAGGATATCTTCGGAGATTTTATTTGTTTATTAAACACTCGCTCCGCTGCGCTCCGCCCGTGGCAAATAAACTCGTGACTCAAATGCCGTTTACCACACTTGTTGCCTAATATACTATTTTCTACTTCCTTCGGTAAAATACCTAATATACGCCGATCTAGCGTGCGGGAAGCCTCACTTTAACAAATGCGATTTTTGTTCCCTGAATCCGAGCCCCTGCGGACATTTCCCCAATATTATCGCACGTTTTTGGGAGCAATCGGATGTTTTCGGAGGATTTACTCAGCTATTAAACACTCGCTCCACTGCGCTCCGTTCGTGCCAAACAAACTCGTGACTCAAATGCCATTTTCCTACTCCCGTCTGTAAAATACCTAATTACACACCGATCTCGCTCTGCTGCGCTCCGCTCGTGTCAAATAAACTCGTGAGGCAAATTCCGTTTACGGCACTTGTTGCATAATATACTATTTTAACATTTAAATTTTGGTAGCGGAACCTTATACAAATTTAACTTACAATTTTCAGCAGCCATTATTGCCTTTTGCATGTTAAAGTTTCACTATTTATTTTCAAATATTCTTCAACCTGAAAAAGTGTGTGTGTGTGTGTGTGTGTGTGTGTGTGTGTGTGTGTGTGTGTGTGTGTGTGTGTGTGTGTGTGTGTGTGTGTGTGTGTGTGTGTGTGTGTGTGTGTGTGTGTGTGTATAATCTAGCATAATAATAATTATAATAATAATAATTCGATTTCTTTTTACCTTTCAAATGAACAAAAGGGATTTTAGGGGCGTTAATTCCTTTTGCTTTAATTTTGTTGCCTAACTTGTTAAATTTAATTTGTTATTGGATAAGCTTACAAAAATTTTAGAGACGAACCAATTGATATTAAATCTGATTTCAAAGGTCTAATTCGAATCTTTTTTCGAAAACAATATGGAACTAAGGGCGTATTTAACGTTTCGGCGTTTGCAATTCAACGTAGCGCGAGGCTTATACAATCTGCGAGTAATTCCTGTTAGGAATGCGACATCATGTACTGTTCTGTAAAAGCCATGATGGAGAATGCGGCTACTACGTGACCACGCATATTATCCCAAATCTGAAACGGTACCGATTTTAACTGTGAAATTTGTTTCGTTCCGCCATTGACTTTAGAACGACCCCCGTTTTCTGCTCTCTCGCCCCCCTCACCGCCGTCCGACTAATATAGCTTCTTTTTAGATTTTGTATGAAAAAAAAAAAACACGTTTAAGTACTTTTATATACTTTTGCTGTATTTAGCGTTGTACTGTTAATGTGTGTTGGCGTGAATAATTATCAATTTAAAAAGATTTTTTTTTATTTTTTGTGTGCAAAAGGAGTATAATATTCTTTCTTTTAATTCTTAAACTGGAGTCAGCTTCTTTTGGAGCACATGGACAAATTCAAATATTTTAAGGTAAGCATCATACAACAATTTGCAAATGTTTTTTTTTATTTCCGAAATTTTACAATCCTTAATATTATTCTCACTTCTTACTTAAAATATAAATTGTGCGTTTTGATTTGAGTTTCGTATTTACTGAAGTTTGGTTTTATTTTACAAACAAAAGATACAACCGTACAAAATCACAGTGTTGTTACCATCCATTTTTCAATATTTCACTGTCATGTGTTCTATAAATATATTAAATATATTCAATCTGTTAAGACTGTTTCGGGAAAACATGCGGCAAATCTAAATTCAAGAAAATCTAAACTATGGGTTTTTGGTAAAAAGAAAAGCAAGGAAACACTAGTTCTGTGATTCACCGCCCAACCTCGATGTCCTACTGTACTATATGTTTAAGTCATA